ATTTTTATTTTATGTATTAAAAATAGCTCTCAAGGCACTTTTTGTGGAAAGGATTCAGATGTTCACCGGAACATCTTGCAGGCTATTTTGTCTGTAGAGATGGTGGTCGGGGCTCGCTCTAGAGTCTGTGGGCTGCTCCCGGCTGTCGGGTTTCACAGGGGTCCCGCAGATCTGTTCCCACCAGGTGGTACACCCGCAAAGGGTCAAGGAGGTGCAGGGGCCCCTGCCAAGATGGTAGTTGGGAGCAGGTGGTTGTTGCATCTAGAAGAAGGCAGCAGAAGGGCGGGATGAGATGAATGTCTGGGGAAGGGCATTCTTCCGTTTACACAGTCAACACATGTTGGATTAACGTTGCTGTGGAAATCTTAGCTACAAACAGCTCTGTACAGGGGCCAGCATGGGGTGCGGAATGAGCATTTAAGGAGTACATAAGAATTTTGGATCTTACCATTGTACTGGGTACCAAAATAGGCAGGAAAGAGAATAGTTAAAACTGTTGCAAAGCTCAGAAGAAAAAGCAAAATACCAGTTTATATTTACATGAACCACTCATTCAGTGAACCGTTTCCCATTTCCTGACATGTCTTAGTGTCATTATTTTATAGCAAAAAATAAAGCATTTTTTCCTTTATTTCAGGTTGTCCAATGCACATGAAGACACCTGACTGTAGATCTGAGAACACATCTGATGTTCCTGCACATCAGGAAAGAGCGTATGAATTTGTAGCATGTCCGGTGAAGTCTGGTGCATCTCAAATGAAAGATGACATAGATCCCAGCAATATGGTAAATTTTGCTTAGTTCAGATGTCTTCTTCGGTCTTGTTTCTTCTGAAATACTATCCCTAAATAGTGGTACTGTCTAAGGTGGAAACTCTGGCAATTAATGTTATTTTTAAATTTTTAATACTGTTTTTTCGCATTTGTATGCAAATATTTGTATAAAACCATGTTACGTCTTGTTTAGAATCACAGAATGGTTTGGATTGGAAGGGACCTTAAAGACCATCTAGTTCAACCCCCCCTGCCATGGGCAGGGACACCTTCCACTAGACCAGCAGTTTGCTCAAAGCCTCGTCCAGCCTGGCCTTGAACACTTCCAGGGATGGGGCATCCACAGCTTCTCTGGGCAACTTTTTCCAGTGCCTTACCACTTTCATCATGAAGAATTTTTTCCTTATATCTTATCTCAAGCCACCCTCTTTCAATTTAAACCCGTTACATGGGCCTGTAGTGACAGGACAAGGGGTAAAAAGTTCCCTTTCAGCTTCCTTGTAGCCCCTTCAGGTACTGGAAGGCAGCAATAAGGTCTCCCCAGAGCCTTCCCTTCTCCAGGCTGAACAAGCCCAATTCTCTCAGCCATTCTTCACAGGAGAGGTGCTCCAGCCCTCTCACCATCTTCATGGCCTCCTCTGGACTTGCTCCAACTGGTCGATATCCTTCTTATGTTGAGGGCTCCAGAGCTGGACACAGAACTGGTGAAGTCTCATGAGAGCGGAGTAGAGGGGGAGAATCCCCTCCCTCGACCTGCTGGCCACGCTTCTCTGGATACAGCCCAGGATACGATTGGCTTTCTGGGCTGCAAGTGCACCGTGCTGGTTCATCTGAGTTTCTCAGCAACCAGCACTTCCAGTTCAACTTCAGGGCTGTTCTCAATCCACTCTCTGCCCAGCCTCTACTTGTGCTTGGGATTGCCCCGACCCATGTGCAGGACCTCGCACTTGGCCTTGTTGAACTCCATGAGGCTGGCACAGGCCCACATCTCCCGCCCGTCCAGGTCCCTCTGGATGGCATCCCTTCCCTCCAGCGTGTCAACCGTGCCACACAGCTTGGTGTCATCAGCAAACTTGCTGAGGGTGCACTCGACCCCATCATCTGTGTCAGTAATGAAGCTGTTATACAGTACTGGTCCCAACACCGACGCCTGAGGAACGCTGCTCGTCACTGGTCTGCACTCAGACATCGAGCTGTTGATCGCCACTCTCTGAGTATGACCATCAAGCCAGTTCCTTATCCAGTGAGTAGTCCACTTGTCAAATCCACGTGTCTCCAATTTAGAGGCAAGGATGTTGTGGGGGACGGTGTCAAACACTTTGCAGGAGTTCAGGTAGATGATATCAGTTGATTTTCCCTTTTCCACCAATGTTACAACCCCATCGTAGAAGGCCACCAGATTTGTCAGGCATGATTTGCCCTTAGTGAAGCTGTGTTTTCTGTCACCAGTTGCCTTTGTATTTTCCATGTGCCTTAGCATGGTTTCCAGGAGGATCTGCTCCATGCTCTTGCCAGGCACAGAGGTGAGACTGACTGGCCTGTAGTTATCTGGGTCTTTTTTTTTTTTTTTTTTCCTTTTTAAAAATGAGCATTCTGTTTCCCCTTTTCCAGTTGATGGGAACTTCACTGGACTGCCACAACTTCTCAGATATGGTGGATAGTGACTTAGCAACCTCATCAGCATCCTTCAGGTCCTGTGGATGTGTCTCATCAGGTCTCATGGACTTGTGCACCCTTAGGTTCCTTAGATGGTCTCAAACCTGGTCTTCTGCTACTGTGGGTGGTTTCTCATTCTCCCAGTCCCTTCTCTGTCTTGGGCAGTTAGGCTAGCATTCTCTTCTTCAGATTAACATCTTTTTGGTAAATGATGTTTTTTCAGATTGTAAATATCTTTTGCTGTCTATTTGTTTGTTACGTGCATGGTTTTTATGCTACATTACTGGTTTCTAGGTTCTGTGTAACAGCAGTATGCGTAAGTTCTGAGTCACATCTCTCCCAAGATGTCCTGTGTTTTACAAAAAGCATTGCTGTTTTGAAAGTTGAAGTTTAAGGAAGAGAGATGTTAGTCTTCAGGTGACAAAGTTGTGCTGAGAGTTTTACTGCGAGAGAGAGGTAATTTTAGTGGACTTGTATAATGGCTGAACTTGATCTTTGTAGCAGCTGATGAATTATGCGTTGATTTTTCTCAAGCACTGTAACATAAAAATAATTCCTACTCAAGTTTGTTGTTGATTCTCCTTGTTTTCTAGATGCCTCCTCCTAATCAGCAGCCATCCCCAGGTCAACCATTTCCATTGTCAACTGTTAGAGAAGAATCTTCCATTCCTAGAGCACATTCTGACAAGAAATGGGTCTACCCTTCGGAGCAAATGTTCTGGAATGCTATGTTAAGAAAAGGGTAAATACACTAGGAATTATCAGATGGATTCTGTGAGTCTGAAATTCATGAAGTAGTATTACTAGTTTTTATTCATCGATATTATTTAAGAGTTTGTGGACTCTAAGCAGTAAATAATTATATAGGTCTTTTAAAAACTACTATTTTTATAAGCAGCTTTATTTTAAAGAATAAGCTGGTCTTAAAGGCCATGTCTCCTCTAGCGATCAGCAAGATGGTAGGGAATGTTGGACAACTGCCACTAGCTCAGTTTTCCTAAAGGTCAGTGCATAGGCATAGACAAACTTTGCATGACTGCCAGCTTTCAAACTCAGTGGGCTTCATGCTAATCCTGTAAACTGATAGTGAAAGTTTCATGATTGTGAGGACATCTAACTTGACTTTGAAAAATTGCTAAAAATGGGAAAGTTGTTTGACAGATGTTTTCAGTGTTTACAATAATTCAGTGTAGGCAAGGTCTAACTGAATGATAAATGTCTCCTGTGGCCTAAAAACCATTCTGTGCTTCGGTTTCCTCAGTGCTTTTGTAATTATTTGTTTGTCATTCTCGAACAAATGGACTTTAAAGGCGGTTACTCTTAAAGCAACAGTAGTTCTTTGTTCTGCATATTAGTATTGTCCAGTATGTCATAAGCAGTCTGTACTGAACACACAAGTTTTGATCCTGCACACACTTAAATGCCTTTGACGTTACGCCTGTTGAAAAGGAAGCACGCGCGTAGTCGTGGTGCAGGGTCAGGGAGATGGAAGGCATTTCTGGGTGTATGCAAAGTGTGTTGAATACAGGATTTCTGTGCATTAGGATTGCACGTGGGATTTTTTCTAAGCATTTTTATAAATGCCGTGGGTTTGCTGACATTTGCACACTGTGGTAACTTTCTCATCCAGTTAAGCTGTTAATACAGCTGACTAGAATTTGTGGATCTCTATCAGGATAACTTTGATAACTACACTTTTACACAGAAAATGAAGTCGTTCTCAAGATGCTTAAGCGAATGAGCCAGAAGTTTCCAACTTGCTTTATGTCTTTGCATAAAATGTTAGATCTCTTGTTTCAAAAGCCATCAGGTAAACTGAGGAAGGTGGAGTAGTTATGCCATAATGCTTATAAACTTGTCAAATTCTTATTTTTTAGGTGGAGGTGGAAAGATGATGACATAACAGGTGAAGACATGACCAACATCATCAAGATTCACAACCAAAATAATGAGCAAGCTTGGAAGGAGATTTTGAAGTGGGAAGCTCTTCATGCTGGGTACGTACATATGAAAAAAAAAGCAAATCCTTTGATTTAACTCTTGCTTTTGTATTTCCTTGTAAGTAGAATGTCTCTTTAATTTTTGCAGAAGTATTCTGATGCTGATATGCCCCAAAAGATACGGTCTTTGAGGAGTCTGCATTTTGATTAATATGGAGGAAGATTATCCAGAAAACTTAACTAGAACTGAATAATCACTGTGTTGTTAAAACTGATGAGCATTTTGGTGGTGTGTGTATGTGCTGGGTTCAGTCAGGAAGGAGTTAACTCTCTACCATGGCTGCTAGGAAGCTGTGTTCCTGGATTTACACTGAGAGCAGTACTGATAAGGTCTTAGCTGGCGCTGGGGAGTGCCTCCTGCACCAGATTTGAGGCCTCTGCTTCTGATACTGCAGCTGCGTTCCCAGCCCTCATGGTCTCGCTACAGGCAGTGCAGGGGGGACACAGCTCAGGCACCTGACCCCAACTGACCGAGGGAGTATTTCATTCCATCGTACGTCATGCTGGGGGCAGACGCGAGGAGGGGGTCCGGGAGCCATTACTCTCTCCCTTACTCTCTGGCTCATTCACTCCCGCACACTTGCTGACACTCTCCTGACTCCTGCGTGAGCTGCTTCGCTCACTCCTGTGCTGGGTCATTCATGAGGGAGTTGGTGGGTTGGTTTAGTTTTCCCGGTCGTGCTGTCGCTGACCGGGTTCGCTCGGAATCTCCTGCGACAGGTCTTAGGCTCATCACTCTTAGGCCGCGGCCCTTGGGCTCTCTGGCTCTG